CTCTCCTTCAGAACACCTAGCTTCTGAAACGGCCAATAGCTGCTTTAGGCCCCTTCCACGGCCGGAGAGGATTTTAAATTCCCCGCCCTCACCTCCTGTCCCGGGAAAACCCTGTATAGCCGAAATGAGAGGTAGGAAAGAACAAAAAAAAAAAAAATAAAAACATTAACTTAGTTATGACCAAGTTTATTTTAAATTACTATGATTTGTTTAAACAATTCTCTCCCAAAAAAGGTCGAAAAATTACATACCATTATGGTTCCACACCAATCCGTTTGCTTTTAACATTGACTAATTGAACATTTATACAACAATGTAAGCTCCAAACTAACTCCTCAAGGTCAAGGAAATGGAAATATTTTAAAGCTTATGAAAAGTATCATGTGAACAATAGACATGGACACGTACTTTGTTAATTGCATATTAAAAGATTTAATTACAATAAAATCCATTTAGAATTCATTAGAATGCAATACAGAGCGGTTATCCTAATGGGTAAGTCAAGCATTGAGGAGGATCCCATTTAGATTCTAATAAACTAATAGTGGAAGCTGTTAAGGAAGTAGCTCTCGGTCGTTATTCAATTTCATCAAATCAACTCTAAAAATCTAGTTAGTTAGGTTAAGTGCGTTATCAAGACCCGTCCTTAGGGAGGGAGGGAAGAGAGCCAGTTTGAAGTTAACCTAAAAGCTCTTTCATTTCGTAATTTAATAAAAATATATCCGATGAATATATTTAATTGCTCAATTATTCCCTTTGATGGGCTTTTCAAACGTAACAACCTATTAATTGATCTCAGTTGAATATCGGGTGATATGCAGGGCCAAAAGTAATGATTTGTCATCTAGATATATAAAAAAAAATATTATCAATTTTAATCTGATTAACTGAATATTTATAGTAAAGCTTGGTTAATTAATAATATAATTTTATGTATCTACAATATATAATTGGGGGAAGGAATTTGGCCAAATGAACTAATAAAGCGCTTGCAAAAGGAAATCCAAATTGAGCAACTGGTAAGTACTTTGTTGCGTATACTACGCTATAACTGAAAACTGCACAAGACACCCACTTGGTAAGTGAGGGCGGTCAGTCAGGCTACTGGGACTCACATCGACCAGCCGTGGGAGAGATGATCCTAACCCTTTTCTCAGAAATCGCAGTATGTAATGTAATGTCAATTTTATTGCATCATGTCCATTACTTTCTCCTAGACACGCTCATACGGGGATTCCTTGATATGTCTATTCCTCTAAAACCGCCCGTTCGATTTGTCTCAAGGAAAGTGAGGGATTGGTAAACAGATAATCAAGTATGTATGAATTTTATCAAATTCTATGCAATACTCCAAAGAAAAATACTTCCACTTTCAGGATATTTGTTGTTTGACACGCATATAGTTTGAAAACTGCGCGTTCGATTTGAAACAAACGTTGAGGAAATCTAAAGAATAGTATAGAAATTACCTGATATCAGTTTCAATGAATTCCATTAAATAATTATATATTTATATAAATAATTGTTAACAAAATATTGGCTGTGAAATGTGGATGTCATGGAAGTTAGGTTAAAACGATATTTTTATGGAGTAATAAAATTTTAAGTTTTATTCAAAACGTTAATTTATAATGAATTGTTTGTATTTAATCATGAATCATCAACTTAATTGAAAAGGAACGTTAAATATTTTTTTGGAAATGACCATTGTAGAGATAAAAAAAAAAATCTGGTGCGCGCAACACACAACTTTCACTTACCGATCTACTATGAATAGAAATTATTTTCTGGTAATGCTAGGCTATTATAAATTTTTTTGAAGTGAATTTTAAACGGAGCCAGCGCTTAAAGCTTACAGATAACAAGTCATTAAGACCATTATAATTAAAAAATGTCTATTTAATATATCGAATACGGGTAATAAAAATCTAGTCACTCCATCTGCTTTTACAAACCACACAACTTTCTTTGCTTTTATAAACTTCAGAATGACTAACTCCAATTTCAATATTTTTAAGTGATGTCATTTTAGTGATATTTTTAGTTGGAAAAGTTATCTATGCAGAATATGAGTAAGTTGATTCCGGGGATGGTGATTTCTCGATCGCAATACTTACCCTTACTATATATTACATATATCAGTAAGTAAAAGTAAAAATAACTAGTATATAAATAAAATAAATGATTTGCAGCTGTTACTTAAAAATCTTAATTGAATACATTAAACTTCATAAGTAACAGATGTAAATAATTTATTTTCTTTATTTACTTCATTTAGTTATTTTTTATCACTATAATGGTTTGCCTCTAAAATTAATTTTAATTTAACGTTTATTCCCAATTTTATTTAGTTATTTTTATTTTTTTTTTTGCAGCAATGTTACAGTATTGTAACCCTATTGCTCATCTGCTTTCTTTAGTATATCTTCATGTATATATTAGTCTTATTATTTATGTTTCAGTTATTCCTTATTGTAATAGGTATTTTGGGCAGATTTGATGTTGATTTGTAGAACAATATTGTTATTCTTAATGGCCTTTGTTCCAGAATAAAGTTTTTTTTTTATTTATTTTATAATTACAGCAGAGTAATAAAGAAAATAAATTGTGGAGGGTGAAACTATATGAAAATTATAGGGAAGCGATACCGGTTCGCTTCAACTCCCCTGCGCGGCTGACTAATTCCCGCCATTTGTCAAGAGGAGCACGCCTCGGAGAAATCGATGTCTGCATGCGATTATCGCTTCACTGTCTCCCTTCTTTTGTCCTCAGCAGGAGTCAGTCTGTTGGGTCGTAAAGCATTTACAACCTAAAATTACGATTTTCATTCCCCGTTTATTGGCTACAGTAAATATTTAACGATGGCCCCAATGTCTGAAAACAGAATATTCAGCGATAAAGAGGAGCATCAGTCAAAAGTAAATGTTATAATTATAATAAGTCCATAATAATATATTATAAATACAATAATCGGAAACCTGAAATAATAATCATTAACACTTTTAAAGTTATTGTAACAAAAAATAGTTCCATTTATCTTTCTATCTTCTTTTTCTGAAACATATATCATACGGCTATAATAAAAGCTTACTAAGAAGTTAATTTGCTCTAAAAACCACAAAAGTGCATAGAAAACAGATAAACTTTTCAGAAATTTATTCTATAATGTATAAGGGGAGAGAAGAAGAAATGAATGATAACAGATGAATGAAAGAAATAGTAAAAAAAAAAGAAATAAATAGTAAAAAATAAAATAAAATAAAAATAAAAAATAAATAGAGAAAAAAGAGGAAAAAAATATACTAAAAAAAGTATAATAATAAATATAAATATTTAAAAAATATTGCATACTATGCTCGTACATATTGTTAATCCTATATAACTGTATATTGGTTTTAAAAAATTGTATGTAATTATGAATAAGTATGCTGTGCAACCCAATGTAATTGGGCAGCACCATTTAATGATAATATTAAACTTATTTAGTTCGTAGAGAGGAAGTCGCCATGACCAGGTTAAGAATAGGACACACGAACACCATGTACATCTCATCACTATGCAATCACCATCAAATTGTCAGCGTTGCAATAGCCTTCTCACAGTCAACCATATTATCCAAGAATGCACTTATTATACTTCAAGCCTAAATCGATTATCTCTAAAACCGGATATATCAGCAGTATTAAGTAACAACGAATCAAACATAAAAACAGTGATAAAATTTCTTAAAATCCGTAGACTATTAAATAAAATATCAAATAAATATAATTTTTATTTTATTGTTCTTTTTTTTATATTTATTTTAATATATTTCATTTTTTATATGTTTTTAAATATCTTTTTCATTTATTACTCTATCTGTCTATTATTAATTTTTGATTGTTCATTCTTTTTTTCTATTTCCCCTCTAAAAAGTTTACTAACATAACCGAGTCACAGGCGTTGTGGCGTTGTAACAAACTTATTTAGTTTTTATTTTTGTATTTTTTGCTAAATATTAGAATTAGAAATTATCCCTTTTAGTAGACACTAGGGAGAACCATCGGTAGTCGATATTATCGACTACCGATATCGACCCTTCAATATTTTAGTTTAAAAATAAAAATTAAAACTATCATTTTAAAAAAGAATTCTATATGAATATGATCGTTTGAAAATATATATATACTCATGTAGCCTATTTCATATAGAATATAGGGAAACATAGCTTTTTCAACAATATAGACTATCGATGGTAGAGCTAAGTAGAGCTAAATAGCGCACGTTGGACCCTTCTCACTCAACTATCTCAATTTGCCCAAATTTGTTAGTTAAAACCTTCTCAAACCAAGGTAAAGAAATTGTCTAAGAAATTTATGTAGGATGCAAATAAATCAGATTTTCGCTATACCCGATCTATGGGTGAATGTAAGACATAATTGGGTGAACGGAAAGTTCTGGAAAAAAAAATCTGAAGATGGGCAGGAACTAGAAAATTAATTTTACTGAGGAGGGTAGAAGAATTGATATTTTCATTAATTAACTTAAACAGGTAAACAACATATTTTTTGATACGGCAATGTTTATATTAACATCAAAAAATCTTTATAATGTCGAAGAAAATATTGACTATATTTCAAGTCCTAAAATTAAAACTAAATAAAATAAAGACTATAATTTGATGTTATCACCAATATTTTGGTAGTTATAAGCGGTTAATTTTATCTATGGCATTATCGATACTGGGCCTTCGATATCTCATCCTTAGTAGACGCCTAAATGAATATTGATATTTTATGTTAAAACATAAGGTTCTTCTGATTGTTTCATTATCATCTAAGCGATTTTTATTAATTATATACTTTAGGTTAATCGGTTTTATTTTATGTAAATATTTGTCAATTTAGATATAAGTAACAAATGCATGATACACAATTGTATACTATACACCAAGGATATGATCGCTAGGTATCCTTATTTATAAATAATAAAATATTTAAGAAAATCCAATGGATGCTCACTCCTAATGATCTTGATGAACCTGATGAGCCTGAGAAGACGGAACACCCTCAACATCCTGAGGACGTCCAACTCAATGCCAAGCGGGAACAGTGATACTATCCTGTAATTGAAATAATAAAACAATAAATTATTCATTAATTTATAAATTTACAATTTTGGAAATACGCTATTTTTCATGTTTTATTGCCCTAACATTTCACAATCCATGTAGGAAATAAGGTCTTAAAAGTCTGAAAGTAAATTCGTTTTGAACAGTATAAAATCCTTCCCCTCTCTCCCTCCCCCCTAAAAAAGCATATTTTACTGAAAATTAAACCTTAAAGAACAGAAATAAATTATAAACTGGAAATAAACAAGTATGTATATTCATTTACACGATTACATTACATCTATTATATACATTATTACTTAATTATATACTAATCCATAATAATACACCCAGATCATCTTAAACATATGTAAGAAACGAAACCATATAATTGGGGTTATGAAAAAAAAAGAATTATTACTTATACGTATTATATGTGATTGAATGTTACCATTGCTTAAATCATATTAAATTCGAAAATATTTTCTTCAAACATTTTTTTAATGAAAACTTTAATAACTAAGATATTATCATTGTTTTGTTTTTTTATTTGTTATCACCTCTTCCCTAGAGATGCAGTAGATAAGATATTATTATAAAAATGATTTCTTTATAATTTATAATTTCTTTAACATAGCTTAAAATTGAAATAACTTTCGCAGCAAGAATCAAACAACTGATTCAACTTCTAGGAAAAAGCAGTGATTTAATTTTTTGTTTTTTATGAAATGATAATCTTTTCATGATGATCTTATAATTTTGCTTCCTCGCTAACAAAGGAAGAGAACTTTTGCGGGTGGTTAAAAAAAATTTTGTGCTCAGAATTGAAAATTTCCACCCGCATTTTACGTTTCTGACATCAAAGATCAAATTTGTTTGTATGTCTGTCTCTAGTCAAATCGATGTAACGGGCCTGTCACGTTCTACGGTTTATGCGGTTTCCTTGAAATTTTCAGAGATTGTGTGGTATGGTGACAAAATGGTCTCATATCAATTTCATCAAATTCCATCCAACACTTCCGCTTACTCACGCGCAAATGTATTTTCTATGCCAATGATCCAGAAACGGCTCCTTTGATTTGACTCAAAATTGGAAGAAAGGTAGACATTGGTAAAATAAATGACTCTGTACTAATTTTATAGTATTCCGTCCACTTCTCTTTAAAATGCCCAGACTTATTTTTCGTGATACGTGTATATCGTAAAAACCGCACGTTCGATTTGATTTAAAGTTGGAGGGAATTTAGGGATTGATAAACAAATTACCAAATAAATATCAATTTCAGCAAATTCTTTCCATTACTTTCAAAAAATACTTCAGCTTTCGAATCTAAAACCGTATTGTTTTTAACACAATTTCATTGAATTCTATTCACCAATTAAAATTAATATGAATAACATTTAAATATATAAAGACTGTGAAGTATGGAAGGCATTGATCATGTGAAGGAAGGTTATGTTCATAGTATTTAGGAGGTTATAAAATTTTAGACTGACAAAATGTTAATTTAAACTGTATGTTTTGTCGTTTATATATTACTGGGATGGCACCTTCTGCCGTTCTTAGATTTCGTGTAATTTTCAGTAATTGTGAGGTTTGAAACTTTGATGGTTCCGTATAGATTTTGTCGAACCCCATCCACAGCTTTCGCTTAGAAGAGCGATTTTTCTTTACTATGTATACATTATATTAGCAAATTTGAGTTATGTGTTGCACAGACTGTAGAAAATAACGTCATATTTTTTAGTTTGTTTATTCATTTTGAAGTTCAACCAACTAGTTGTGGTCTCGATTTCACTCTCAAACTTCAAAGTGGTAAGGGGCTATGCAAATATTTTTGAGCTAGTTATGGTTGAAGGGTGAAATGTAAGCATCGCTAAGTATTTAGTATGTACAGGCCTTTATTTTCTCTATATCATTAATTTCATATATATTTTTATATTTCTTCTTAAATTACTTTGGTTCTATCTGGAAAATGTCGGTGAATATGTTGAGGAAACTATACAGATCTTATTTGGCAGACGTTTTTAGCTTACATTCAGTAACTGAAATATATATTTTTTTTTTTTTAAACTTTTATTATGATATTTACAACTGTATTAGTATGAATACATCTAGTAAATTACTGAAATATATGAATTATAATTTTAAAAAGCTACATATTTTGATTATTAATGTCGTTCGCTCATTCAATCATAGAAAAAAAATGGATCAATGTTTTTTTTTTTTCTATTTTGGGAGGAGAAGCTTAAACACGAAAGCTCCACTCTACTTCCTTGGTTTGGGAATAGTAGACCACAAGATGATACGGGCACATTTTGATTTTTTCATTAAGGTTTAAAGTGGACCGTTATATCATCAGAATATAGAATTTTTTTTATTTTTTTTATTTGGGTTTTATACAACTTAAGGGTTTTATCCCCAACACCCAAAAGCCACTGCTCCCTGTCCATCCAATCTCCTTCACGAAGCCCTCTGGCTGCCATGCTTTCCTTCACGTCCTCTATCCATTTCTTCTTTGGCCTTCCACGCTTCCTTCTTTCAGGTGGCATATAGTTATAAATTTTCTTTGGCCAGCGGTTCTCATCCATCCGCATTAAGTGGCCATATAAATATACAATTCTACCTCAAATTTTAAGCCATGAATTCATTGGTTTAAACATACACTTCATGGACCATAGAATTGAACATATCCAAAAGAAAAGGAATATGATGATATTCACGTTGAATTTTGATATTGTTTGGGAATTTGAGTGTAAATACTTGGAAGCATTATATGTTTTTTTTATTTGATATTGAAGTAACATGTAAAGTAAAACTTAACGACCTTGTGAATTGCGTATTGAGCTTTCCAAAACTCTATGAACTCATTTACCACTAATTTACAACGAGATTATTATATTAATTCTAAAACCGTTAAATATTTCATTGACAATAAGATTAAAATAACTAACCCGATAACTATGACGAAGAAGTCTATCAAGTTCCATGGATTCCTGAGGTAGGACCCGGGGTGCAATGCGAATCCAAAGGCAATCACTTTCAGCACCATTTCCAGAATGAAGATGATGAGAAAGTAGATCTCAGCCTTCTCCTGAAAATAACAAACCAGCGTGATATGGATTATCGTATTTATTTTTAGTAAACATTAATCGATTATCTTTTAATATTTAAGGAAAATAAGCTGATTCATTATTATGGCGTGCTTATGTAAAGATTGGAAAATAAAAGTGTTATTTGAGTTTTGATGTTTCCGTAATTCATTACACAGCTAATTGAGTCATTTTTTTCCCTAAGATTTAAAAGAAATATTAAAAATACAGATCACAATTCAAAATGTAAATAATCCTCTTAAAGCCTGAAAATAACATCTTTTTTTATTATCTGCTTAATTATAGAGCATATGCAATTTGTAATGTGAGTATTTTTCTTTTGTTTTTTGTCGTAATGTACATATGATATGACTTTTATTTCAATTTTTACTACAAATTTAAAACATTAATATTGAAATGGATATTTTTCTAGGTATCGCCATCAAATTCAATTTGAAATGTAACTAATCATTCAAAATTTTAGCTTGGAAATGTTATTCGAAAATTATTCCAAAATCAAAATATTTTTAATGTTTTTAGTAAAACCGATGAATTATGATGTTATTGTTTCTTAAATATTCTCAAAAATTAATGTATAATATTCATTCCTAAGAGACAAAAAAAAAGTGTTTATGTTTGGTAATATCTCCTATCTCATAGTTTGTTAAATTCTATGCATCCTATCTGCACCAAATGGAATTAAAATCACTCAATATACGTAATCACTGATTGAAAAGCAGTTACAAATAGTTTTTTTTTTTTATTCAATGAAATGTGGTAATGTTAGACATACAAAAAATTAAAAAATATATGTCATGGCGTTCAAGTTGCTTACTTTACAAATAAGAGATTCTGCAAACTAATCGTGAATATAAAATATTAAATTTAATATATAATTTAAAATTACAAGTAATATTCTGGAAATTTTTTTAAACATATATATGACATGTTTATTCTTACTATATATATATATATATATTATATATATATATATATATATATATATAATATATATATATATATATATATAAAACTTAAGATATGAATTATAGTCATATAATAGGTCATGAAGTTATAAAATATAATTATATCAATAAAAGGTCTAATTGAAACCAATAAAATTGAAGTCAATAAAAAAAAAAAAACATTGTAATATTATATATATATATATATATAAATATATGTTTTAGTAGGAACATTCCTCCGAATATTTATTAAATTTGTTTATGCTCTAACTAAACTAAATATACAGCCATAAAGTTTTAAATGTAATAATGTAAGTATTAAAAGGAGTTAATTGTTTAATAAATAAATATGTGGTAAAAAAAAAAAAAAATTGACTGATAATATACCAGAGTATATTGTAAATTTCGTTCATACCAGAAGTTGTGCAGTTTCATTCTCTTCTGGAAGGTAGAGACCAAAACCGAGTCCGATACAATTGACAACAATCACCAGAAGAATTATATATTCAAAAGGTCTGCATATTTATAAGGAATAATCATCTTTAAAAAAAAATAGCTTTAAGAAATATGCATCGGAAAACCTATTTTAAATAATATACTGGAAAGTTGCTGTTTTAGTACAATATGCTAATTTAAATAAACTAAATTAATATAATCTTATTTACTCAAAAGATTCATTAATATAATTTATTTTATTTAAACATTATATTTTTAATTTTAGTAGGTCATTTATGAAAAGGATACGCCCATGTTACAATCGCCTTGCAATGCTTTCTGATCGGATTGCTATCTTTGAAGATAAATAAAGAATTGTATTGGGATGACTGGTCTTGTGCGTCGTCAGTCATTTCGGCAGCCTGCAAACAAAAATAAATATATAAAATAAACAATAAAACTGTATATATAATATAAATAAATACATGAATACTGGAGTTTTATTGTTAAAAACTAGTCAATGTTAGACATATATATAGAAAGAGAGCATGCTAAATATTTGTATACTTTTAGTTATGAGAATGATATTGTAGCCGAAAGGGGAGGGAGTTTCTCTAAATTTCACAGCCATTTACTTGAAAAGAGTTTATATACCTCTTCCTCTAAAGTACCTTTGATACGGTTTACTTTAAATAATTAAATACCTCTCATTATTAAGAGTTACGAAAAAATAATAAACATAACTTTTGAACGAATTTGATCATTTAATAAAGGAGAAAAAAATAGAAATGCTTGTGCAGTTCGAAAATGAATCTCCGTAATTACTAGTCAGAAGGTATACTTATAAGATATCGTTGGAAAGCTGAGAATTTTAGAACAAAAACAATATCTAATATATAAAGTTGTAGAAGGTAACGGAGAGTGGCGAAAAAATTATAAATAATAATTTCAGAAAACTAACATTATTTAACTTAAATCAAATATGCTAATTTAAATAAACTAAATTAATATAATCTCATTTACTCATAAGCTTCATTATAATTTATTTTATTTAAACATTATATTTTTAAGTGTAGTAGGTTATTTATAAAAAGGATACGCCCATCTCGCAATTGCCTCTCAATTTTTTAATGAAAATAGTTAGAAATAAGAGAAATAGAGCTACTACTTTGAAATTGCGTTCTAACTTTGCCCTGTGCTTATTTATAATTGACCTTGATACTTTACCATAGCTAATGTAAAAATAAGTTTCAATATATTAAACTACATTTTTAATTAAAATAAATAAGTTCTATGAATTAAAACATTTATGTGATTACATAAACTAAATATCGACAATAAATCTTATCACAAAGGAAGATATTTTTCAATCCGAGAAGTAAGTCAATTGTAAAACACTTAATGATAAAGTGGACTCGGATAGAGCTCTTATTTTTCCTGCACGTATAAATATTTATTTCTTCAACTCTATGCAGTTTTTCTTTTTTAAAATATTGTAATAGAAAAACTTTTTATAATAAGTCGTTGTCAAAAAGATTAAAATATGCTGACAAAACTTGTGTTCGCATTTTTCGAAAATATAGAAAACACAAATGTGTGTTTTTCCAGGTTATAAAAGTACTTCTTTATTGTTATTTTTCTTTAAAAAAACATTGCAGTATGGACTGTCTCGGGTTTATATTTCTGTGTCTAGTCCATGAGAAACCTTTAAATACACTAGAGGGAATTATGTATGCAATAGAAATAGTAATGTATCTATATTCTAACCTTAGTAGTATTTTTTTAAATCAACAATCTTGAAATCTACGCCTAAAATTCCGATTTTTCAATGTTTTACCCAGAAGTTTGGGGAAAAAAAAGAATAATATTGGCTGATAAATCACACAAATTTTTATGATAAATGAAAGATTATTATAATGAAATGGGATACTTATAAAATGAAATAACGGAATGAAACACTTAAAAGATTAGGAGCGAACAGGTAATATAAGGATCTGGAAGGTAAAAGTTCCCACCGGACTTAATCAGATAAACACATCCATTGTATGAATGAAACCGTGAAGGACGTCTTCATAACGTGAATGAGATATAATCTCCGAGAAAAAAAAAAAAAACGCTTGACTTATTTCAGTAAATATCAGTTCAATCTAAAATGTAGATTTATTTTAAATTAAATGTGAATAAAATATTTAAAACTTCTGACCATTATAACGTTAAATTTAATTCACACGTTTTATATGCACTTTTTTCTGCTAATATCTACCGAAGGTTCAGATGTTTGCTCTGATAATTGTAAGAGAAATCTGGCATTCTATATAAGGTAACACTATAATTAAAGTTTATTAAACACTTAATAATATATACGTTAAAATCAAATTAATTTTAAATATATAGGACAGTATCTTTCCAATTAAATAAATTATTTTATAAGTTGATTCTACATTGCTTCGTAATTCAGTTTATTTGGACATCTGTTCAACTCAGAAATCTATAATAATATAAAGTTTCTATTTTATGTTATTTGTTGACTTTTTTCGGTTTTACTTTCTTCGTCAGTATTATTTATTTACTTTTTATATTTATATTTATTTCTCTATTATTTGTATATATTGTATGAATGAGAACTTTTAGCCCTCCAGCAGTAGCTGATTGTTTTATTATTCAATAAATAGATTTTTTAAAAATAATAATAATAATTACTCCCAGCGATTATACATGTCCATTTTATTCGCCGCAACTTAATCATCTCATCTATATTAATCGGCTGTCTCATCCTTCGGTCCGAATATTCTGCGCAATACTTTATTTTCAAAAACTTTAATACATTGCTCATCCCTTAATGTAAGAGGCCATGTTTCGCATCTAAAGAATAAAGAACCGTAGGAAGGTGGTTTGGTATATTTTGATTTCTATTTTTCGGGACAGCACCCGCGAGTGTAGTTTCGCAACTGAAAAATAGCAAGTAATTATTATCCGCCTTAAACTTCCTCTTCAATTTCGATCTTTCTTGTCATCATAGACCATAAATATTATTTTATATAAGTTTTGTACTTCTCTACATGTTCAAATATATTTCCTTCAATATCTTCAACACTGAAATTGTCGCCATTTTTGCTACCAACCATATACTTTGTCTAATTAAACCTAGAAATCTAACCGACTGAAATTCAAAATTTGTCTAGCTAAGCATTGTTTAATACTAAAAACATTTTTAAATTGTTGATCAGATTCAATTTTTTTTTCTTTTCTTACATAGTAACGCTAAGCTGGATGAGTTTATTTGCTATGTTTTACATACTCGATGCGAATTCCCATATTATATGTATGAATGTTTCGTTTATATTTTAGTTATACCATTTTTGTTTTTTAAATTGAAGAGAAATTTTTCTGAAAATATTATTATTATTAGTTAGCCTCTACAACTCGGTGATGAGTCTAGGCCTCCTCAACCATCTCCCTTCAAATGTTTCTGTCTCTGACAGCCACCATCCAGTTCCTAATCCTGAGTACAGTTCGTGCGACTTTTGCCACACTATCAGTCTATCGAACCGTTGACTCTCCATCTTTTCCAAAAAGCTGTTCTGTTCACAACTTCCTAAGCATCTCTTCGTCTCCCATAAAGGCCACATGGCCACCCCAAAGGACCATCAGATTGTCACTGTTTCTCCTTACTAGATTGCTTCCCCGCACACCATGTACTTAGTTTTAAAGTTGTTCACTGCTAATCCTAGGCGCTTCGCTGGTTCTGCCAACGCTATAAATGTCATATTCATCACTGCTGTTAGTGACCGACAGACAATATCTATGTCATCAGCAAAGGCCATAACCTGGTAGAGGTTGTTGTATATCCTCCCTCTTGTCTGTAGAATTTTACATACTTTATAAAAAAGGAATTTACATACTTTATAATACAAAAATACTTATTTAAAAACTCCACATATATGTAAACTGCCATTTAATCAAGTAAGTGTATTTCAACATTTATTGATCAAACATTATCTGATAAGTTTCTTTCTGAAAAAGAAAACGTTTAATAATGTGTAACAGAGTCTTTTCTTGTTATTGATTGAAGCTTTGACATTGAATCAGTTTCTGTTTTGAACAATAAGTTGATGGAAAAAATTATATAAACATGTCGTAAGGAATTCATGTTTGATAACCATTTAAGTATTTATCCATTTGACAAGTGACATCATCGATATCTGATTGCCAATTAAATGTGGGTCAAAAGAACAACTTATTTAAAGTGACAAAGAGATTAAAAATTGCCATGAAAAATTCTTATTAATATTGAAATGATATGTAATTCTTAAAGTTATGTTCAGAACATTTAAGGTATTTATGACGATACGAAAATTCATGACAGACCAATCTCACTGCAAGGGCTATCAACATGACCGATTCTAGTTAGTTCGACATGTTTTTTTCTACAGTGTATAATTAAATTTTAAACATGAGGGTCAAAATTTAGTTTTTATTATATTTGTAGTACAGATCACAAACAATTAATAGGATAAATTTGTAATTCATCGAAATCACCGTAACATGAGCCAGAATGACTAACTCCAATTCCAAGCTTTTTTATTATTAATTTTGTTGATATTTCTAGTAGAAAAATTTGTATCTTTATTCACAGTTCTGCAATTTCAACGCTGCAATCACCTTCTCTTGAATCAACTTACTCGCTGCCTGTACTGATACTATAAATTTTCCAAGTAGAAATATCACTGAAATGACTTTCGAACAAGGACTATCAGAGATCACAAAATGAAAAAAAATATCATCCTTATTACATCTAAATTTAATTATATAAACAATAAATTATGAATTATCTATTTTATATACACACGGTGCTACGTAAGCGTTATCCAAAACCGATAGGTCATAACATATCTTAGGTGCAGGACGAAAAATCGTTTGAGACATGAACTAATGCCGACTACAGAATTTTATGTTTTTGTTGATTTGTTTTATTTTTTAAGGTTTTTGTTGAATTGGAATCTATAACAAAGAAGATATTTAATCTTTGGGATTCTAATTTACAGTATCGTAAACTATTTAAAATTCTCTTTAAAAATAAATGTAATATGACTTTGTTATAATTATTTCCTCTTTTGAGCAGTTTGACGCTAAGTTCTGTTGTTGTTTTTTAAACTAAATCGTGGATTATTCTTGATTTTCTTATCAGTCTCCAATCTGGCAACAAATGAATTACTTTTAGAAAAGCTCTCTTATTTCTTACTTTCTGCATGGCGTTACAGCCCGCCAAGAACTAAAGATTCCTTCAATATCCAGCTCCATTCTACTTCATCCTTCGCTTTAGTTCGCCACCGCCTGATTTTCAGCTGGCGCAGGTTCTCTTCCAAGTCGTTCAGCCATCGTTTACTAGGCTTACCTCTCCTTCGCGAACCACCAGGATGAC